TAATGCACCACCAACGCAGAGTGCGCCACGCGAGTTCGAGAAGAAACGTCAACCAAACCGTTTGTTTACATCAGAATAAGTATTTTCCGAACTTGAACGTCTGTTCTCTGTGGTCCAACTTCCACCAGAAACTTGTGTAAAGATAAGTGCGAACGTCGCTGTTACGTAGCGCTAGCATCCCCTGATTTCCTCTATAAATTTTTCCACTTTCGACCAATTTGGTGCTAGTATCGATAAATTATCTGTTGAAAATTTCCACTCGGCGCTACCGTCACTTAGTTTTTAGTGTAAGTTTTGCAACGCCAGCGCCATCATGTTGACAAAGAGGGTTTTTAAGTGGGGAGGTCGCCATTAGTGGCGCTTAAGTCGAATAGGAATCTTTACACAAGTTATTAGAGAGCTCAATGTCTGTTCTCTGTGCTTTAATGTAAATGGGAAGGGCAGTATTAGTTGTACTAGGGGTAAGACCCTAGGTCCGCCTAATTAGCGATTGACACGGGATATGCACATAATAATTACAATCTCAACGATGTTGGTGTTGTAGCAATTAATTTAATAACGGCTTAATTCTAACAGCTTAACTACAAAGAAAATAATCCGGCCACCCTGACTAGAACAACACATAGGGCAGTAATTCTTCTCACATTTCTTGCAATGGTTTCAAACCAAGTAGTTTCATTCCGTGATGAAGAACTTTTCGAGAAGAGTTGAACAATTTCAGCCTTTGTATTCGTTTTTCCTTTGACGATTCATTTTTCACATTTAGAGTTTGAATGCATCGGTTTGTCGCATTACTGTAATTCGAAAAAAAAAATATGAGGAACAGCATTAGAACACCGCAATCATCGAAACCCCCCCAACCAACTCACCATAAACCAAACAGATAGTTAACGAGAATGCACGCTTCCTGTTTTTCGGCTGCTTCCGTCAGTGCAGCATCATAATTAGCTAATTCGCAGATAAGATTTAACGCTTCAACTTCCGGAAGCAACTCCGGATTGCAGGTGCCATGATCTAGGCATTCATCGGCATTTTTCTCCAAGCTCCATAACCGACAATGAGTGTACTGCAGCTTAATGCCGCAATCGCCGTCCGTCTGTAGAGCTTTGTCCCAGTTGAACTCGTAGTCTCGCATCCGGCGTTGTTTCAGATCATTCACAATCACGGCCGTCGTACCGAGAATGGCGGTAATGTCTGGATTATCGGCAACATCAATTTTGGTGGCTAAATAAATAAAAAAAAACAAGTAATTACCACTTCATGTGAGTAAATAATAAAATTCAAACTACTGGTCTTGTTAATCTGTTTGTGCCTCATCAGATTTTCGGCTTCGTCCAGAATGTCCTTGAGAAATACAGCATTGCCTTTCCTGGTGCTCATGCCGTGTACCCGTCCGAACTTAACGTGACTAATGTCGGAAGCGTACGGTAGGTCTAACTGCTGGGCTATGGACAGCAGCGCTGCAAAATGATCAGTTTGTGAATTGTCCACCACGTATATGGCCTTGCTGAACTGGAAACGCTCGTAACGATCAATCAACGCGGCCACATCTCGTGTCAGGTATAAAGTGGACCCGTCGCTTTTCACTATCGGCACATTACGATTTCCGACCTGAATATGAACAAAACAAAAGATCAAGGAATGCGAACGATGACGATGAAGGTAGCTCATGCCTTAACGATTTTTCTACCGTCGTCTTGCGGGAACAGCGAACCGTTGCTTTGCAAAAGTGACACCACATGGGCAATGTCGTTGATGCCGTACTGTGATTCCCAGTGGAAGTGGTCGAACGATATTCCTAATCTTTGATACACATTTCTCAGCTCATCCACTGTGTACGAACGAAATTTATCCCAAGCATCCAAATCAGAAAACCTGCCTTGTTCCATGTCCGAGAAAATTTCCCTAGCCCTTAGCTGGAGTTTCTCGTCGTCCGTGGCCTTTTTGTACGCGTAAACGTAAGCTTCATACAACATCTCGATCGGGTTCCTCTTGATATCCTCTTCGGTAAGCCCCTTCAGGTCCACACCAAGTTTCAGATAACCAAACTGTGTGCCCCAATCACCGAGGTAGTTAAGTTTTACCACATCGTGGCCCAGGTGGTCGTAGATGTTGGCGAGAAAGTTCCCAATGATAGCCGACCGCAAGTGTCCGGCATGGAACGGTTTGGCAATGTTCGGAGAACTGAATTCGATCAACGTTTTCGGTGAATCTGCGTGCCTTCGTTTGCCAACGGAGATATCGTTGATGGTATTTTCGATGAATTCGTTACGACACAATCGTAGGATTAACTTTTTCCTCCTTCCTTCGTTAGCTATCCGGACATGATTAATGCGAGGTTCAGCGGTGCTAAATGCTACTGACAGTGATTTAGGGCAATTTAAATGGTCAGCAGCAGCGTTAACCGGTACATGTACTTCTGGATCTAGTGTTTCCTTCGAGACGTGATAGGATACCCGTGTGGCGTTCGGATTACTGCCGATGACCTGTGCAAGCTGAACAGATCAAAATATAAATGATAATTAAATGGTGAATGAAATAATGCCTATTTACCTTGCTGTAAAGTAACTTTCTGTAACTGGATGTCATTGTTGTGCAAAGAACGTTTGTAATTAAAGTGTATCGTTACCGGCACTGGATACCGTGTGATTATAAAAAATTACATCGAGAAAACATGCACAACACTCGCAAAATTTACGTTCTTTTGTTTTCTATTGAACTGTCACTGGAAATACACGGCTAAACAAAACAACCCAACGGTTGAGTTCTTTAACCCTAAATGCAGTGGTAACACTGAAGCAAAACTTCCATCGCCATTGACGAGTGCACGGATGGATTTGAGTTCACTCACTCGACAAAAAGTGACACAACAGCGGGGCCCTGTTTACTAAAAATGAACACATGAATAATGCTCTCGTAACATTTCAAAAGGGCCTATCAACTTTTGTAAATAATTTGCTAGGTCCTTTTCACGAGAACCGAAGTACGCCCACGCAAACCAAGAGCACTATCGGGAAGGGGAGCATTTCCTCTGCACGATGGTGTTGTTAGTTTACGTGAGCGTATTCGGTTCGCGCGAAAAAGGTTTAACAAGTTTTATGTACACAAGTTGATAGACCCGTTTCAAATGTTACGTGAGTATTATTCATGTGTTCATTTTTAGTAAACAGGGCCCCGCTGTTGTGTCACTTTTTGTCGAGTGAGTGAACTCAAATCCATCCGTGCACTCGTCAATTGGTGACATCCTTTAAGGCTCTGAACCATTCACTGAGGCAAATAGACTTAAGAATTTCATAAGACTCGACTTATGAACGACAAATATGAATTTCATAAATGCGACTTATGAAAGATTTTTATCTAACATAACGTAGCTCTTATACGCCTTTAGCCATTCTATTTTTCTTAAGCGTTGAAAGACGAGTGGTCAACACACGAGCTCCGTAATCTCAACGTTCATGGTTCGGTTCCAGTCTGCTCCGATTTATTATTTTTTTTGTTAACATTATTTTTCATAACGCAAATCAATGCAATTCATACTGATTTCTTGTGGCTAAAATTCATAAGTGTTTCTTATGGAATTCTTACGTTCTTTTGCTTGCGTGTTTGGTGGATTATTTTAGCTTTTTGTTAAAATTTGACAGATGGAAAGTTATCGATTAACCCTCCTAGACAATAAGTTAAATTTTGACAACTTTGGCTAAGTTCTTCTCGAAAACCGGTCGATCAAAAGCACAGGGATTTTCGAACATAGAAAATTACTTTCGAAATGTCACTTTTAACTACGAGTTAAATTTAACTCGGCAAATAGTTCACAGCCTGAATTTAATTAGATGTCCGCATAAACGCAAACCATAACTTGACCTTATCTAAAATGGTTAAAAATTGTTTATAATCTCTGCTAAACTTTAACTGAAATGGTTATGGATCTTTACATGAACGTATAGTGATAAAGTTTTAACCATATGTATTATGTTTTTTTGGAAGTGACTCTTACAAATAATGGGTTGTTTAAGAATCATTACAATTCCAAATTCTTGTTTTCTTCATACATTTTCGGAAAGACAACTATATTAGAACCTTTTACATATAGTTTGAGAGCTTTAATGGTGATGGTTTTGGTAGTCGGTAAGGTCCATGAAACGGGTAATGAGATAGCGGACTCATTGGCTAAGGTGGGCGCTATGGAAGGCGATATTTTTGAGCGACAAATCGCCTTCAACGAATTTTTCTCCATTGCTCGTCAGCAAGTCCTCATCAGTTGGCAACAAAAATGGAATGATGGTGAATTGGGAAGATGGTTACATTCTATTCTCCCACAGGTGTCGAACAAACCATGGTTCAAAGGGTTGGACATGAGCCGCGACTTTATACGCGTTATATCAAGGCTTATGTCCAATCACTGCTCGTTAGACTCGCACTTCTATCGAATTGGGCTCTCAGGCAGCAATTTATGTGCGTGTGGCAGTGGTTATCACGATATCGAGCATGTTGTTTGGTCATGTACCTTACACCGTGTTGCCAGATCTGAGTTATCCACATCCCTCAGGGCCCGAGGAAAACAACCCGCGATACCCGTTAGAGATGTCTTGGCGAGCCGCGACCTCGACTATTTGAATTTAATTTATGTGTTTTTAAAACGGATAGATTTGAGGATTTAGTAGTTAGTGTCATCTTGTGTTCTCCCAAGTTGTTAGTTGCCCATCGGTGTACCCCCATGTTTGTCTTTTTCATCAGAGTGTCGCCTAGTTCCAGATCAAGAGCACATTGCTCTACAAACCTTGTTACCCCTAACCTCGAGATAGCCGCAAGTAATCGGCCCCCGCTTTACTAACGTTAGTTTTAAGTAATTTTGTTGTCTAAACAATGAATATCGGCTCCGCAAAGCTACAGCAAATGAGCCTGGAAAAATAAACGAATTATTAAAAAAAAGGTCCATGAATGGTTTTATAACATCGATCAACTTAATGTAGAATATATCGCGACCAGGCAACCAATTCGTGATATATAGCGAGGGGGACGACTCTATCTACGATGCAGAAAAGATTGTGTTTTGCTGTGGCTAGCTGCGCGCACGCTGAGTAGATAGAAAGAAGATTGATGACGATTCTGAAGATTTCCTGCAAAAAGATGATGCGCGATGCAAGTAGATGCGAGAAATGAAAGAAGATTTTTAGAAGATTTATTCGCTAGTGTGAGATTTGTTGAGCATCTAGACTTGAGATTTAGATGTGTCGCCCCCCTCGATATATAGTTATGGACATGCCGATGCTCTACCCACGTCCACCAACCAACCGACCGTGGCCTAGACGCTGACTCAACAACATCCCCGTATTCGACTCCATGCACGAGGCACCTGGCGACAAGAATCAGCATATCACACCACATGGATGGAAACAGGCCAACGCTTACTCGACAATGCACTTTGGACACCGAAGAATTCGATGACCAGCAATTGTCAACATAGCAGTTGACGATCGGTTACCACCCAGAGGAGTTTTGCTGAGACAGCAGGAACAACAAACAAAACCAGTTGCAGAGGCAGGAGCGAGCTTAGTTTTTGTTAGGTTCTAGTTGAGAAGAGTTGTTGTTCAGATTTAGTGTTAAAAGTTAAATGTAATTACCTTTAAGGGAATAAAGATAATTATTTTTTTATGTTGCCAAGAATTATCCTGGCATAAGTGGCGCAGTCGTTCGGAGCACTCTACAGTGCAGTGTAATTGGCTAGTTTTGATAGACTCTAGTGCAGTGAATGCCTGACCCGTGGTGAATTCGTGAACCGGAGAAAAATCGAAAATTAGTGTCGGACTAACGACAGCGGACGTGCCGGTTAGTAAGCCAAAGTGACGTGATATTGGATAGTGCGGTACAGGAAAACTAGTGAATGTAAAAACCCGATCCGTGGTTAGAGCAGAAACAGTGACCTTCATCCCAGCTACGAAGATACACAAACGAAGTCTTACGCCATCCCTCAACCCGTAGGTGACTTGGGACGCCCGTTCCAAGAAGCTGTGTTGGTGGTTTTCAAACCTTTGAGAGTGCGACCGTAAGTAATTTAATTTAATTTACCCCTTTCATGAGCAAATTTAATCCGTTGCCAAAAATGGAAAATCAAATGATTGACCTGCAAACAGTGTACAACAACATGCTTAGCATGGAACAGAGGCTAAATGCTCTGCAAGTAGAAAACAATAATTTGCGTGCAAATCAAAACATGCAACAGAATGCTCCACAACAAGCATCTGACATTTTTCGGATCCCAGATCCGATCAAATCATTGCCCAGCTTTGACGGCAAGAAAAAACAAGCTTCGGCATGGGTCCAGACCGTAAGGCGAACCCTCGAAATGTTTAGAAATCGTGTTCCAGCAGAAACACTTTCGATGTATGAACAATGCATCATAAATAAAGTTGAAGGCGATGCCAGAGACACATTATGCTCAAATGGCAACCCTCAAACATTTGAAGAAGCAGCATCAATACTGCTTGGTAGCTTCGGCGACAGAAATACTATCGCCACCTACCAAACTCAAATATGGAATATGAAGATGACAGATTCTCTTCATAATTACTATCGAAAATCAAAAGAAATTATGGTAAATATAAAATCCTTCGCTAAGGAAAACGAAATTTACAGAACCAAATGGAATGCAATAAACGAGTTCATAGAACAGGAATGTTTAGCTGCATTTATTAATGGCTTACATAAACCTTATTTTGGTTATGCACAAACTGCACAACCAGAAAACTTGGAAGCAGCGTACGCCTTCCTCTGCCGTTTTCAGTGCGCTGAACAAACTAAGAAACAGACAAACCAATTGCCGAATTCAACACACCCCCAATATACAAATAAAAATCACAATTTCAGGCAAAATAAACCGTTTGTCAATCCACAACAAAAGTCAGACAGATCCAAAATAACCCCCCATCTCTAAGGTCAAGGCAAGGAAAACTGTTTAATCACGACTCAGAACCCGTAGAAGAAAATCTAGAAAATCAAGAGCAGGAAAATTCGGACTCTGAATCTGAGTACGAGACAAATTTTCAAATAGATATTCACAACAAACCATCGAAATGAATGCTATAAACGCAAGATTAAAACAATACGAATCAATTATTGCAAAATTAGAAGAGAACCTCAATATTATAGAATTAGTTACCATTCTTAAACAAAAACAGGTTCAATCTCATTCCATTCTTGAAAACTTGACAACAAAATCAAAAAGAACAAAAAGATCGCTTAACTTTTTAGGATCTACCATAAAAATGATTACTGGAAACTTAGACAACGAAGATTTGTTGCAAATTGAAAATCAGTTGGAAACATTGAAAAATTCTAATAATGTACTTATTACTGAAAACAACGAACAGGTTAAGATAAATGAACTATTTGAGAGTAGAATGAATAATCTAACTAAAATGGCTTATAGACAGACTAGGGAAATAGAAAGTATCATAAAACAAAATATTTTAGGCTTAGATAGGGCAGTAGATTGGAAACATGTACTGCATGTACACAACATTATATTCAACATCGACATGGTTCAACATCAGCTGACAACAATTTTCGAATCCATACAATTGGGTTCTTTAAGGGTATTGAGGTAAATGCATATTCGTAATCTGCATTAAAAATAGAACCCAAACCCAAATTTTCATCAATTTTGGTACACTGGA